ATGTCAGGACCTACTCATTGTCGAAATCATACTCTAGATTTAATACTGTCACATGGAATTGATGTTGATGGTGTTGAAATTATGCAGCCAAGCGATGATATCTCAGATCACATGGTTTGTACACATTTTTACCAATAAATTTCCACGACTTTTCCATGACTTTTGAGACAATATTCCTAATATGACCTAAATGTTCCATTATTTTACAATAAGAATAAAAATCTGTTCAAATTATCATAGTATATGTTAACTAAAATGAATGACTATTAATGCTACTCGTTTGCTTTCTTGTTTTAGTAATAAGTACAAGCTGCAACTGCGCCAGACGTTACTCCACATTTCACATATCACATCACTGAATATTATCATTTATTTAACTGTGTGGCCAGGATGGCCATTTTGGTGGCATTTTGTGTGTATTTTTGCTGCTTAAATGCAAAAAGCTGCGCTTTAGAGTCCTGCATTTCAGCCCGAGCCCAACGGCCCCAACTTATTTATGGCTTCGGGACAATTTTCACGTCATAGCTCAGACACGGGCCAGGCATCAGGCTTGCTTCCTCCTTATTTTTATATTTTGCAATCCCGCACCGAAATTCAGGACCTGATTAAACAACTCTATTATACAGAGTTTTGTGAAATAAATTTCAATGACTTTTCCAAAACTTTCTGGGTTTATTTATTTTTCCAAAACTTTTCCAGGCCTGGAAATTGGTGTTTTAAAATTCCATGACTTTTCCAGGTTTTTCATGACGGTACGAACCCTGCTTCCATTAAAGAAAGAAAAACCAACAATGGTTACTGAAATAACTTGAAACGGACAAAAGTAATAATAAAAACATTACTGAAATTGACCATAGGGACATGTTAAATAAAGTGTGTCCTGTAATTAGCATCACAGGTGTCTTCAAACTTGTAATCAGTCAGTCTGCCTATTTAAAGGGTGAAAAGTAGTCACTGTGCTGTTTGGTATCATGGTGTGCACCACACTGAACATGGACCACAGAAAGCTAAAGAGACAGTTGTCTGAGGAGATTAGAAAGAAAATTATAGACAAGCATGTTAAAGGTAAAGGCTATAAGACCATCTCCAAGCAGCTTGATGCTCCTGTGACTACAGTTGCACATATTATTCAGAAGTTTAAGGTCCACGGGACTGTAGCAAACCTCCCTGGATGTGGCCGCAAGAGGATAATATGAATGGAAACCAAAGAGCCCAGAACAACTTCCAAAGAGATTAGAGGTGACCTCCAAGGTCAAGGTACATCAGTGTCAGATCGCACCATCAGTCGCTGTTTGAGCCAAAGTGGACTTAATGGAAGATGACCGAGGAGGACTCCACTGTTGAAAGCATGTCATAAAAAAAGCAAGACTGGAATTTTCCAAAATTAAGCTTCTAGGCGAATGTCCTTTGGACAGATGAGACAAAACTGGAGCTTTTTGGCAAGTCGCATCAGCTCTATGATCACAGACGCAAAAATGAAGCATACAAAGAAAAGAACACTGTACCTACTGTGAAACATGGGAGGAAGCTCGGTTATGTTCAGGGGCTGCTTTGCTGCATCTGGCACAGGGTGTCTTGAATCTGTGCAGAGTACAATGAAATCTCAAGACCATCAAGGCATTCTGGAGCGAAATGTGCTGCCCAGTGTCAGAAAGCTTGGTCTCAGTCGCAGGTCATGGGTCCTCCAACAGCATAATGACCCAAAACAACACAGCTAAAAATACCCAAGAATGGCTAAAAACTAAATATTGGACTATTCTGAAGTGGCCTTCTATGAGTCCTGATCTAAATTCTATTGAACATCTGTGGAAAGAGCTGAAACATGCAGTCTGGAGAAGGCACCCTTCAAACCTGAGACAGGAGTGGAGTGGAGTGGGCCAAAATACCTGTCGACAGGTGCAGAAGACTCATTGAGTTGAAACCGCTTGATTGCAGTGATTGTCTCAAAAGGTTATGCAACAAAACATTAAGTTAAGAGTACCATCATTTTTGTCCAGGCCAGTTTCATTAGTTTTTTTTTGTTATGCTTCTGTTGAACCACAAATCAAAAGCAATGTCTGATTTTCATTAGTTAATTTTCAGTAAATTTTAATTTATTATTACTTTTGTCAGTTTCAAGTTATTCCAGTGACAATTGTGGGTGTTTCTTTCTTTAATGGAAGGGTACCAACAATTTTGTCCATGTGTGTATCATCTTGTGCAATTTATTTTTCCAGTAACATTATTAAATGGACTCATATATATATATATATATATATATAATACTTTTATATTGGTAGTACTTTAAATGCAAAAGAATGAAGTTATTAAAGATATTATGAAATTACAATTCAACTACTATTGTCTGTGCGCCCTCCTGTTTTCCATGTTCAAACTTGCAAAGACTATTTAAGTCTAAGAAATCTAAGTCTACTTCATCAGTAAATCAAAAACAACCCTCAAAAGACACTTAATGTTTTGATGACATTTAGCACTGCCCTAAATTAGTTATTTAATATAGCTTGCTTGACGAGAGAACAAACCTTTTGGTTCTCATGCGTCAAGCAAGCACGTTTGAGCTTCTGTGTCTCATATTTGATGTGCTCTACATATGTTCAATAGGACTTGACTAATATATTTACAAGAATAAATGAGAAATGGCAACTGTATATAGATGGCTATATGCAATGGAAAAAAAAAAACAAACTCAGATGAAGTTGAAATGAGAATGGTCAACTTGCTTCTCCTGTGTTCAGAAATGAAAACTGTCATTTCCAAAAGCCAAAACTTGTTTATCTTCAGAACACAGATACTTTGTAGTATTTTCCCAGCTTCTATTCATCTACTGAAAATCTAAATAATCAACATTTTCAAACTTCAAAAAACAAAGCTATTGTAAAAGTAATAGATATGAATAGCAGTTTAATCTAAGTCTCCTGAAGAGACAATCATTTTATATGATGAAACGGGCATTTATTCACGTATAAACATTTGTTCATCACACATACATTTGATAAACCTTTTAAAACCCCTTTATCAGCACAACCCATACCTCTGTATCATTGGCTCCAGAAGACGCTGCACTTGTGACATTGCCAAATCTCTCCTTCCTCTTCTTAAGCTTTTCATCATCCTCAATCTGTGAACACACAAAATAGGCAACAAAACATTAAAATAGCTAATTTCCTAATGTTAGCTCTGTACATTACTTGTCATTTGTAAGCTTTTTTTGAAATATGAAAAAAAAGGTACCTTTTTAGAAACTGAAGACACATTCATGCCAAAACGTTCTGCTCTCTTTTTTAATACCTCAACGTCAACCTGAAAGAGAGTGGCACGTTTAACAGTGGTTTTGCAGAGATTAAGTTATTTCATATTTCAATTTCCAAGTCCCCACCAAAATGTGCAACCAAATTACTCACATTAACTTTGGCTGAAGTTCCTAATAAAACAAAACAAAACAAAAAATACAACATATCAATGGATGGAAATTTTCATTAATTAGGCACTGTACAGGGTTCATACACATTTTTACCAATACATTTCCATGACTTTTGAGACCATATTCATGACCTAAAGTTCCATTATTTTACAAGTACACATGTAAAATATGAAGACAAATCTGTTCAAATTTATCATAGCACGTTAGCTAAAATGAATGACTATTAATGCTTCTTATTTGTTTTAATAAGTACAAGCTACAACTGTGCCAGAGGTTACTCCACGCAGAGAACATATCACATCACTGAATATTATCATTTATTTAACCAATATCATCAACTGAACTCAGAACCTGAATTTCATTTAGGAAACCGTTTAGGTTTAACAGTAGTATTCAGGTAGAGAAATACACAGAAATTGAATAAACTGTAAATTAAAAACCGATGAATCATTCAAATTAAAGTTACAAATGTTTAGTCAAGAGCAGTGATTGACCTATTTTGTCTTGTGTTGTTTGATTAACATTAATGACAGACTGCACAGCTTTATTAAAGGTGTCATGAATTGAGAAATCAACTTTTACTTGACCTTTTGATATATAAGAGGTCATCGTGCTAAAATAATATTCTGTATGTTTCAGAACTGAAAACAATCTTGTTACTGAAATAAAAGCTTTTGACACCAGGCCCAGCAAGCGCCAGATCCTGGAACGTGCCTAAACACCGCCTTCACAGAAGAATATCAATGCCTAATTCTGTAGCCCCTCCCACTGATTCGCGCATGACATAGTAGATAAATAACATAAGCTAAACCGGATCGAGCAACCAAGCAATAAACATGCTGTTAAAGATTGCAAAATATTGTGCAGTGCCTGGTTGTGGAAGAGCAGAGTCACTGCATAACCTTCCTTCGGATTCAAATATTAGGAATGCGTGGTTGAACTTTATTTTTAATGAAGTTTCAGCTCACGCGAGTAAAACATTGAGCTTAATTTCACCGCGGATTCCTTTGTAAACAAGACACAGGTCGACGCTGGATTTGCAGAGAGACTGAGATCAAAAAGCAATGCTGTGCCGTCTACATCAGATCCGACAGGAATGGCGCAGCACACTTATGCGAGTAAAAAATATTTGTACTATGTGTCACTATTGCTTTGTTAGAGATCGCTTGATATGTCCTAATTATGTGTACGTGTCTAACCAAAGTCACAGAAGGCTCCAACTATGAAAGACGTAGCTTGTCAAACAGGCACACAGAAAGTTAGTTTACTATGCAAAACTATTATCCAATCATAGCAGTGGGCGTTTACTTCCAAGTCTTCAATGCGGCATGCCCATAAAAACCCAGCGTTTCTCAAGCCGGCCTCAAAACCAGGGTAGAAAATAGCCCATTACTTAATGATTTTGATGTTTTTAAATGTAAAAACCATGAGAACGTCATAAGTGGACCTCAGACAACAGTATAAAATAAAAAAAGCCAGTTCATGACCCCTTTAAGCTGCTGTCTATGAAGGTAATTTAATGCCTAAAAGATTTGCATACACAGGGTAAGAGCTGTGGAAGTGTACACAAGACTGTAAGCGTAAATTAAATTTGCATTCGCAACAGAAGCTTTGTAAAAGTGTAAATCGCGTTTCAAGCGTAAGAAAAATGATTTGCAGCATTTTACTGTTACTCGTAAGTGTAATTCATGTATTGTGAAACTGCAGCTTAATGCTAACGCAAAATAAATATGATCTGCATTCTTCTGACTTCCATTTTTCCACACTTACACTTTTGGCACGTTGTTTTCACTAAAATACGGTCAAAAGCACTGCAAGCCTGTGAACAGTGATTTGCAAGCGAAAACAACAGTTTAAAGAACTGCAAAACGGATTGACTGCATAGAACCAATCTGTGTGTGTAAAAAAAACTAACTGTTGCAAATGTCTAAATGACTTGCTGTGCATGTGGGGCAAAAAGTTCCCAAAATAAACCGATATGTACAGCTCCGTCGCCAATCACATGAGGCTCTCGCTGACTCTCTATTTACTCTTATCCGATTGGTTCAATAAACACATAATATGCCAAAGCATTAATCTTCATTTAGTTCCGGATCGTTCTCGCTGCCAGAACGGTACTTCTAATGTACACATAGGCTACATTAAAAATAAATATATAACAACTTAATTAAAACATGATGCTTTATAAGTTGTGTACCATTAGGCTAGACTCCCATGTTTTCATACTGAATTGTGAATTGGTGTTAACATTATTGGATTGGTTTGGCTTTACATTGAAATTTCATATAATCTTTAAGTATAATCAAAATTACAATATTACAATAAACTAATATAACATATATAGCCTGTCGAGGAAGAAAAGGATACTAAACAGCTCGAAATTCAGTTTGAACACATAGCCTAATGGCACACAACTTATAAAGTATCATGTTTTAATCAAGTTGTTATTTATTTATTTTTATTTTTAATGTATGTGTACGTTAAAAGTAAGTTACCATTCTGGCAGCGAGAACGATCCGGAACTAAATGAAGATGAATATTTTGGCATATGATTTGGCATATGTTTATTGAACCAATCGGATAAGAGTAGATGGAGAGTCAGCGAGAGCCTCATGTGATTGGCTACAAGGAGGTGGTGGACCCGCCCTCCCCCTCACGCTTGCAAAACTCAGTTAGTGAGAGAATCGTGCCAAAATTGTAAGCGGAGGGAAAAGGAAGACGGAGCTGTACATATCGGTTTATTTTGGGAACTTTTTGCCCCACATGCACAACAAGTCATTTAGACATTTGCAACAGTTAGTTTTGTACACATACAGATTGGTTATTAACCTGCAGTTTCACAATACTTGAATTACACTTACGAGTAACAGTAAAATGCTGCAAATCATTTTTCTTACGCTTGAAACGCGATTTACACTTTTAGAAAGCTTCTGTTGCGCATGCAAATTTAATTTACGCTTACAGTCGTATGTACACTTCCACAGCTGTTACCCTGCGTATCTTTTAGGCATTCAATTACCTTCATAGCTGTCCCTTTAAGACCGACTGAATGGATCCAATATACTGATACACAACAGTTTTCTTTCTCAACATTCACTTAAGACAAAACCGACTGCGTTTATGAGGCTACTCGCAAGGACGGACATTTTGACAATTTTGTGTGCATTTGGCCGCTTAAGTTGTGGAAAAATAATGGTACTCGCGAGGTGTTTCTTTTCCAAAAGTTTCTAGGGTTTATTAATTTTTCCAAAACTTTTCCAGGCCTTAACTGCTTAACACACCAAACACAGAGCAAGCACTGATGTCCAAATTCAAATGACTGACTTGTGTATGTACCAGTTTTAAGTAAATAAATAGTTTATCAAAAGACTGAAATGAACAAATTTGAAGACATTATCAGATTAAACAACTGACTCACTGAGTCATTCATTACAGTTGGTCATGACCAAAAGTCAACACAAAGGACATGAGATCAAAACACTGTAATTAGTGACTGGTTGTTCAAATGTTATGTCATATCTTTCACTTGCAACTTATTTTTAAGTAATTGTATCAGTATGATGCACTGTATTAGATTGTCAACTCACCTTTGGATGATACAACATCAGGTTCTTGCAGACCAAACCTAATAAAACAAGAATAGGAATTTAAGATATATAGATGGCTCAAAAAACGCATGCAATAATCTACTGCATTATATAAGCATTATAGCTAACAGATGATACCGATGTATATTTTCACATGTCCACTTTCACCATTTTACAGTTACCAGTCTATTTTTTTCTCTAGAATGCATGTAAAATGTACTATTGTTGTCAAATTTTATTTCAGATTTAACGCGTTTTGAAACAGTTTTGACAAAGTTATGTAGATTTGTCTTTTCCCATTCAAATAGATAAGTGTGTGAGAGATTTTTTTTTCACATATTGCTACACGATAAAGCACAGGCCTATGCGCACTGGTGTGGCTCACATTTCTTACATAAGACCATAGCACAGCCCAAACACTGCATTTCAACCAAAATAAATTCTCAAGACTTCTTCAGTCTTCAACCATCTTTTAATGACATTTAATACAAAAAAAGAAAGAAAAACAAATGTAATCTCTCTCTCAAACAAGCAAACCTTGCTGCTCTTGCTGCCTTTTTGCTGTCCGCACTTGGTGCAATATTGAAGCGTTCCGCTCTTTTCTGAAGCCTCTGCAATGAAAATAATTTTTTTACTTCTTTTATGGCAAGAAGAATATACCATAGGATTTAACTATATAATGCACATCTGTTAAATTTGTAGTGTAAAATATAGGCCAGCACTATATTGTACAAACGCCAAGCACTGCCTCATTTTTCACTGTAACAGCAGCCAAACTACACATTTCTTTGACAAATAATTAGTCAAGGTTAAATATGATAATGACATTAAAATCAGTAACTTATTTCATTGTTTATCTCTTTTTATCATCATCTCTATTTTCAAATGATAATGTCTCAATTCCAGCCCTACTGGTGCAAAACACCCCTTTGGTTTCAGTTAAGATCATTACCTCACCAACTGTAGCAGGAGGGTTTATCTTGACCAGTTTTTTCTCAGTCACCCTGAAATCAAGAGCACAGTGAACAAACAAAGCCATTTCCAATCACTAATCCTCAGACAAAGCTAGTACTATAGTGTGGCTTTATTTTTTTTTATATGCCATGTGCAAAGTATGCTGATGTATAAGTGAAGGGGGAATGACATACTCTTCAGGAGTAAACTCTTGCTTCTGGGAATCGGTCTCTTCTTTGGCAAAGGCCTCCTAAAACACATGCAAAGTATGTTACATTGAGCACATCAAACAATATGACTGTCGTCCCATCTGGAGCCTGACACAAGAAACACATTTCTCTGTTTACACCTATTAAAATCCATTCAACCTCCATCCATTTACAGTACTAAAATCCATCTCAGGTGATCTGATCAGTCCAAGACGTTTTGTAATCTGACTGATTAAACCACAAAGAGAGACAGTCAGAGATGCATGTGACCACATTGCTTTGAAAAGGTAAACTTGAATTTGTTTTGCTGTACCCAGGACAGTAAAGGACCATCTATTCACCTGTCAATCATCCACTGCACTTTGTTATGCTTTAAAATAAAGCTAGATAGGTGAAGTTTGTCAAAGAAAAACTAGGGTTGTATGATATGACATATATATATATATATATATATATATATATATATAGGGTGAATAATTAATGACAGCATTTTCATTTTTGGGTGAACTATTATTGGGTGTGTGTAATAAAACAAGAAATAGAGCAATAAACGTAGCATTAAAAAAAAAAAAAAAAGTTAAATGTAATAAACAGTGAAAAAGAACTCAATGGGGCACTCAAAAACCTTGAATCTGACTATTTTCTTAACCATATTCAAAATCATTTATGTTCTGAACACAACCACTGGGCAATAAGCAGGCACTGTAGTTTTGTTCAGAATATATGTAATGCACGTATATGATCTGGATAGCAACGTTAAACAGAACTTTCAGAATCTGAAATCAGATCCATTCCAAACAGATTGGGGTTATTGTTAACATGCATTATACATTGACATAACGAGCGATTCATGTATTTCCGAAAACCAGAGACCCTTCCCATCAAAATTGGTTCATGACAAAGCTCCAGACAAAAAAAAAAAAAAAAAAAAAAAAAAGGAAAAGGAGACAAAAAAAAAAAAAAAAAAAAAAAGAGTAAGGAGTCACTGGCTCCTATAAGAAAAAAAACGTAGGCGCCAAATTATTTTTTTAGGTGCATCAGAATAAACGTGTTTTATTTATTACAATTTTTTTTACATTTGAACATTTCAATCATACAGTCATGTGTTTATGTCTCATCTTTTCTTGACTTTATCAGCATTTTAATGCATCTTGTAGATGACCGGGAACTAAGGTTCACTTAAAGTGGGAACTAAATGTCTTTTCCAACTTGAAATATACAGTCACAAAGAATTGTTCATTACACAGAATCTGTACCAATATCATGGACTATAAGCATCACGTGGCCACTGAGTGTAGTTTGGGCTCCTCCTCAATGCATCCTGTAAATGTTGTCATGCACTCTTAAAAATAAAGGTGCTTCACGATGCCATAGAAGAACCTTTTGTCTAAATGGTTTCATAATGAACCTCTTAACATCTGAAGAACCTTTACATTTCACAAAAGGTTCTTTGTGGTGTAAGAAGGTTCTTCAGATGATAAAAACTCGAGAAAGAGATGGTTCTTTAAAGAACCTTTAACTGAATGGTTCTTTGTGGAACCAAAAATGGTTCTGTGAAGAATCTTTTAAGCACCTTTATTGCGTCTTTCACACTTTCAGTCTGTTTTTCGTAATTAGTCAAATGCAATTTTATAGGAGTTGAATCATTTAGACAACAGGTTAAGTAAAAATATTAATATGCAATAGCGCATAAATATAGCAGAACGCTCTTCTTTATAGCTATTTTTCAAGCTGACTGATGAGTTTATGGACACCGAACGGTTATTCTGAGGTAAATGTATATTACGTTGCAATGTTAACAAACTTTACACGTTTTCCGCAATTTGAAACACTGAATGAGCTTTTACATGAGACACTTCAGTAAGTTGTACTGTAGGCTCTCTTATAAAATAGCCTACCTTTAAAATTCGTGTTTATTACGTACTATAGTAGTAAAGAGAAAGATTAAATGGGTTCACTTGCCGCTTGAACTGAAGCGCTAAAGCGATCGCGTCTGCCGCATTAAAGAGCGCCAAAACAACGTATTTATTGTTTGAATTTCGTTATGAATTTGGCATAATGTTAAAGCTGATACCTTGTTTATTAAAAAGTAACAAAGCACAAAGCTTTTTGCGATTACTGGACAGCAAGTGCGCTTCAAATAATATGAAGTTCACGCATTAACAGAACACAGCATAGAGCAGTTTTTCAACCCTGGGCGCCCCCCAACACTGCACATTTCGTGTCTCCCTAATCAAACACACCTGATTCAACTCATTAGCTCATTAAAAGAAACTCCAGGACCTGAAATAGGCGTGTCAGATAATGCCGAGTTCCCACTGCACGATTTTAGCCCGATTTTTCACTCGCCTACAGGTTTTGCGAAATCGCCAACAAATGCCCGAAATCGGAGGCAGGCTCGAGTGACAATCACGCAGTGTGAATTATCAAAGACGTGATCTGAGGGGATCGCCGACGCCTGTGAAATATTTGGCATGCTAAATATCTGGAGCTGTCGGCGACTCACAATCACGCTCTGTGAAATGAGTTGTGACTGAAAAACACATCGGCGATGACCTACAGCCAATGAGAGACCAAGATACAGGGCAGCGGGAAGCTCGGGGAGGAGTTATATGAAACGTAGTTTGCGGACCAGTGTTGTCAAATCCGCGATCGCCGCCGGTTGTTTTTTATATCAGCAGGTTGAAGCGACCCCAATAACTGATATTCAGGCCCTGGAATGTGAATTGTACCAGGAGAACCCTGCCAAAAAAAGTCTGCATAAGGGAGACATACAAAATGTGCGGTGCTGGGAGGCGCCCAGGATCAGGGTTGAGAAACACTGGCATAGACTAAGATCTTGATAAGATGCCGCCATATTAGTAATTATTATAAACGAGAATAGTTAACGATATTGCCAATATCCACACAGCTGACAGCTTTACCTGCTGTAGTTTAAGTTGTGCACGAAATAGAGGCTGCTTTTCTGCACTTTCACTTCGCACGTCTCCGTCATTTCGATCTCTCTCGCGCTGCACAACTGAGCTGCGTTTAGCAGGTGTGTGTCAGCGCTGCTGTGCTGCAGAGATGAGGAAGAGGTTTGAAACTCTTTTTTTCCACTAAAACTTTGATGCGCATCGATGAACATAGAAGATGTGATGGCAAAACAATCAGGGAAAAAAGGCACTGCTTGCAAATTTTTAAGTTATAACATGTAAATATATATAGTCGCCAGTGGCGACCTCAGCAAAAACTTCACTCGCAAATTAATATTTTTGGTCGCAAATGCGACCGTTTTAGTCGCAGTCTGGAGTCCTGTTCATGGCCACTTGTGATCAGATCAGCCAGGACAGATCTTAATACCAGGAATAAACTGGTCCAACACTAAGGACTACACACAATGCATTTCATTTCTGTAAAAAAAATATATATATATATAATAAATTGCTACGTGTACTGCGTTAAGCTAACTGAGACTTGTTATAGCACTTGTATATCATTGCTCTTTTGTTGATTTTGATTGCTTCCATTGTCCTCATTTGTAAGAAGCTTTGGATAAAAGCATCTGCTAAATGACTAAATGTATAAAATAACACTCTAGCTACTACATTCAGTGTGCATCTATTTTAGCCTTTGTCCTGAAAATTCCCATGGAAACACATTACATCTGGGAAAACTTACCTCACCATATTCTCCCAGAACTTCCTCTTCATTCACTTCTTCTAAAAACACATTTTAAAATGTTAAACAGGTATTATAACGGTTTCAGAATTTGAGATTTATCCTGCCAGGATGCCCAAAATTATTTTTATTCACATTTATTAAAGGAATAGTTCAGCCTAAAATGAAAATTCAGTCATCATTTACTCATCCTTATGTTGTTCCAAACCTGTATGAGTTTCTTCTGTTGAATACAAATGAAGAATGCGAGTAATCAAACAGTTGCTGGTACTTTTCAATACTTCCATAGTATGAAAATAATACTATGGAAGTCATTGGGGAGCAAGAACTGTTTCATCCTCACCACCTTTCGTCAAAATATTGTCTTTTGAGTTCTGCAGAAGATAGAAATTCATACGGGTTTGAAACAACATGAGAGCGAGTAAATGACGTCAGAACTTTAATTTGTGGGTGAACTACCTCTTTAAGAGAAGAAGGGAGTAGACTGTCATTAAATAGGTGCAGTATTACACCTATCTTTGAGATATCTAAAGAACACAATTGTAATGAGAACTGGTTAAGGAAAAAAAAAGTAACCATAAAGTAAAATATATAAAAAGGCTGAAATATATTGTACTAGCAAATGCATACCATGCTCGTCCAGGTAGGCCTGCAGCCGGGCAATCAGATCGGCTTTATTTCCTTTGGCTTCCAGCCCACGAGCAGTACATTCCTGCTTCAGTTCAGCCAACTGTGGAGATTATATTAGTTTTAATGACTGGGGTTACATACATTTATCACAACCACAAATCACATACCTGCTGTGTGAAACCTGTTTTGTCAGTCCACAAAGTTGGCATCTGAACAAACATGGCTTCTTCTAAATAATTGAGTTCTAACAGATTAAATGTACCATGTCATTAATATGAAAAAAGAAAAGGGCAGAAAAATTCTTGCATCTTAATCTAGGTCGATGTGTGGTTTAAAACGCTCTAGATTTTCATACCTTTACGCCCAAAAATGCGGTTTATGAAGGCAGCTAGCTAGGCGTTGATGGACAATGACGGCCAAAAAGTAAGCAACTATATTGTTTTAGATTGACGTCTATTGTTACAACCCACTTTTTAGGCACTTGTAGGGGAAGAACACGTGCTGGTTGGGCTTTATTTTTTTTTTAGAGTGAACCGGTGTAGTTGATAAACCACTGGAAGAGTAGAACGTAGTGCCTGAGTGGTGAGGGAACAAAGTAAAAGTCGCGTTTTAGAAGTCTCTTAAAGACTGAGCTAAAATGCTTTTTAAATAAGCAGATAACTTAGATGTTTTTCAGCGAGGAACGAAAGGTACACCGCTCACTATGTTGAGGCTAGAGTCAAAACGCTGTCTGTCAATAGGAAGCTGACTAGAGTTTTTGAGAAACAAGTGCTGAATGAACCTTGAAACGTTAACTTAAATATATTACGGTTTAATCATCATAAGCCAACTTAGCACAGCTCGCTGTTACAACCAGATCCAAAAACTAAATAGAAACATACAAACAAACATGAATAGAAACGTTCTTTGCGCATCGTTTCTTACCTTGAGTTTATGCAGTTCCACGACTTCCGCCATTTTCTTCAAGAGGTTTGTATTTTGAAATCTGCTTCATTCCGGTTTTAACGTCTTTACGGCCGATTTAGCGCTGCAGCGCCACCGCTCGGTCAGGAGACATTTAACACGGACAGCTTTTTTGAAATCCTATTTTAAAGGGGTCATATGATGCTTTTTTAAAGATCATTATTTTGTGTATTTTGTGTAACAGAATATGTTGACATGCGTTAATGTTCAAAAAACACATTGTTTTTCAAATACTGTACATTATTGTAGGTCCTCTATGCCCCGCCTCTCTCAAACGCTTCTTTCTACAAAGTCCCTCCTTCCGACAAGCAGCAGTCTGCTCTGATTGGCCAGCTGACCCAGTGCATTGTGATTGGCCGAACACCGCAAGCACTCGTCGGAAATGTAACGCCCCTGACCATAATCGCGAGCTTCATCTTTCAAAATAAATGTAAAGACAGTAAATAATGTCATTAGTTTTACCATCAGTTCAAGCCTGAAAGGGGAACAGACACAGTAATGATGCAGTACACAAGCCGCGGTTAAGACAGCTGACTC